TGCATGCACTGTCGTCAGCGCTATCAAACATCTAACCCGTTTGATATTCGCCTTACTCTCTCAGCTGACAAAATAGTGATCGTGCTGGCAAAGGAACTGCTGCACCGGCAGTATGAGCAAGAGCAGGGCAGCGACGGTTGGGAGGAAGACGGCAGTGGTATGTAGCGCGAGGGTCAATATACCAGAGCTTGGCCCAGGTCTGACACTTAGGAAAGCAATGGATGTGTAGTGCAAAATCTCTCTTACACTTCATACGTGGGGTTGGAAGGGTTGTCTGTTAGCTGTACAAGTGACCGACAGAGGTGACATACTGCACAAGAGCAACACGCATACATCTACCAACGCAGTCCATTTACTATTCACACACTCTCACTCCTTCAGCAAACCCTTTTACTATTTGTCCACAATCTTTGACTGTGTATCCACGCACGTTGACTATATACCATCGCAGTCTATTCACCACCCGCACACACTCTCTTGTCCAGCAAACACCTTTAATTGTTGTCCACAATCTATACTGTGGACCCACACACTTTGACTATTTACCAACGTGGTCCATTCACCACCCGCACACACACTCTCATCCAGCAAACACCTTTACTAGTTGTCCACAATCTTTATATGTGAACCCACACACTTTGGCTATTTACCAACGTGGTCTATGCACCACCCGCACACACTCTCGTCCAGCAAACACCTTTACTAGTTGTCCACAATCTTTGACTGTGCACCCACACACTACGACTATTTACCAACGCGGTCTATCCACTGCCGGGACACTCACTCCACACACGTTTCGTATCTCTTCATAGCTCACGCACCATGTGTCCAGACTGATCTCCAATTATCTACACGCATCTATATCCACTCACACACATACACGTATATGCACACATGTATCACACCACAATTCACGCACTATCTTTTACCCCATCTTTCCAAACACATCTGCATCCGTTCTCACACATGTTCTTTTATCTACACACATATCACACTATAAGTCACGCCCTGCGTTTCCACCCATCAGGGGAGAGGTTTACTGTCTTTTCACGCCTCACGTGCTGTCTTGCCAACACGTCATGCATCTCCCACACACACTTGTCTACGCACACATATATCACACCACAACTCACGCACTACCTTCTCACACATCAGGCAAGGAAGAAGTTTGCTGGCCTTTGATGACTCGCGTACAAACTACCAAACCACACATGCATCTACCCACACAGATATTTAAATCACAACCCAACCACTACCTCCCCACATACCAGGCAAAGAAGGCGTTTGCTGTCCTTTCCTGACTCACACACTAACTAAACACCACCCATACACATCAGGTGACGAAGACGATGGCGAGGATGGATGGGAGGATGCACCCTCTGGCAAAAACAGTAGTCCATTTGCACCAGCATCGGATTATACGAATTTGTCAGACGCGCTGTTTAGCGGAGGTCTAATGGACGATGTCGATGATCAAGTGGTCGAAGATCCGGAGATTCTGAAGGACCCTCTCTTCAAACTGGATATCAAGGTACGGCAACGGTGTGCCTGAGATGTATATATATATGTACGTGAATGTGCGGCCACACTATTGAATTATATGTATACGCTGCATGCATATATGTATACACACACACACAAACAAACAAACACACATACACACACACACACACACACACACACACACACACACACACACACACACACACAACAACACAC